TGTCGACCTGGCCTTGTGTGTGTGTGTGTGTGTGTAGACCTGGCCTTGCGTGTGTGTGTAGACCTGGCCTTGTGTGTCGACCTGGCCTTATGTGTGTGTGTCGACCTGGCCTTGTGTGTGTGTGTGTGTGTGTGTGTGTGTGTGTAGACCTGGCCTTGTGTGTGTGTGTAGACCTGGCCTTGCGTGTGTGTGTAGACCTGGCCTTGCGTGTGTGTGTAGACCTGGCCTTGCGTGTGTGTGTAGACCTGGCCTTGCGTGTGTGTGTAGACCTGGCCTTGCGTGTGTGTGTAGACCTGGCCTTGCGTGTGTGTGTAGACCTGGCCTTGCGTGTGTGTGTGTCGAGACCTGGCCTTGCGTGTGTGTGTAGACCTGGCCTTGCGTGTGTGTGTAGACCTGGCCTTGCGTGTGTGTGTAGACCTGGCCTTGCGTGTGTGTGTCGACCTGGCCTTGCGTGTGTGTGTCGACCTGGTCTTGCGTGTGTGTGTCGACCTGGCCTTGCGTGTGTGTGTGTCGACCTGGCCTTATGTGTGTGTGTCGACCTGGCCTTGTGTGTGTCGACTTGGCCTTGTGTGTGTCGACTTGGCCTTGTGTGTGTGTGTGTGTCGACCTGGCCTTGTGTGTGTCGACCTGGCCTTGTGTGTGTGTCGAGCTGGCCGTGTGTGTGTCGACCTAATGCTGTGTATAGGAGGAACACAGTGCCGGGTAGTGGGCGGAGTTCAGATGAACAAGCGACGCACCGTCCCTCATCAGACTGTTCATTCCACCCAGCGGCCGACCCCAAAGACGCATTCGTCAACTTTACCGTTACTGCGTGTTACTGCGTGCAGAGTATAAACTCTGCATTTTCTCACCTAAATAAATGCTTTTATATATTTGAATTTGATGCCTAGTTAGGCTTTTCGTTAGGTTAGATTCTGTTGGCAATTATTTGTTTGTGAAGCATTTAAAGCAACCAGTCCTCATAAACAAAGACCCAAAGTCCATTCCATGCACCCGCCAAACCCCCCCCCCCTGTTTATGGAGGAAAAACGGTTTGCACAGGACTCAATTGTCAACACAGTAAGGTAAAATATTGTATTTATATATGAGAAAATTCCTATTTTGTGAATGAACATCATGTTAGAATTGATGAATGAGTCTTGGGGGTCGACCGCTGGATGGAATGAACATTGAACGTAATCACCTAACCTAAGTTAGGCCTAAATATTCAGCACATTCTAGTATGAAATTATATTACCTTGTATTAGGGAAAATACATATTGTGAATACGGAATGTGTTAAAATTGATGAATGGGGCCGCCGCTTGGACGAGCCAAGCCTCGGCGAGGGCAGGTAGTTTGGCGGCGGGATTAACGACCGTTGTTTACAAGGGATAGGCTCGGCGCCTCACCTGGTCTTGAAATTTAGTTTATTCTCTAAATTCTCTCTAGCCCGCCAAACACACACCGAAACTACGACGTTGGTACAACGTTCGAACAAGCTTTAACACCTAACCAGTTATAACAACCAATATAGCAAATTGCAACAACGTTCTAATACGTCATAAACACGTTAAGCCAAGATGTAACAACTTTATTACAAGTTGTAACAAGCGGAAAATAGACAGTTTCGGGTTGTGTTTCCAGGGTAGTTGACTCTTTGAGTTTTTAGTTCATTTTCTGCCACAAATGTGTTCATACATTTGTCCAATACCATCCAGGGTTAAGCTTAGGTCTGTTCCCCTTCACATAGGAGAACGTCTGTTCCCCTTCACATAGGAGAACGTCTGTTCCCCTTCACATAGGAGAACGTCTGTTCCCCTTCACATAGGAGAACGTCTGTTCCCCTTCACATAGGAGAACGTCTGTTCCCCTTCACATAGGAGAACGTCTGTTCCCCTTCACATAGGAGAACGTCTGTTCCCCTTCACATAGGAGAACGTCTGTTCCCCTTCACATAGGAGAACGTCTGTTCCCCTTCACATAGGAGAACGTCTGTTTCCCTTCACATAGGAGAACGTCTGTTCCCCTTCACATAGGAGAACGTCTGTTCCCCTTCACATAGGAGAACGTCTGTTCCCCTTCACATAGAACGTCTGTTCCCCTTCACATAGAACGTCTGTTCTCCTTCACATAGGAGAACGTCTGTTCTCCTATGTGTATAAACTTTGTTCAACAACAAAGTGTGTTGCTGAACACTTGGCCACAGAAGATGATCGAAGTGCTTGTACAAGTTCAAGTTATAATTACATTCTGGCTCTTAAGAGGAAGGGGGGGGGGAGGGAAGTCTTTGAGGGACGATTGATTGATTGATTGATAAAGATTTAGGCACCCAAGTGGTGGCACGGGCATGAATAGCCCGTAAGTGGTACATAGGGGGGGGGGGCCGGTGTTGTTGTTATAGATTCAGTTACTGGAAACAAAAAGTTGCAAGTAGCACGGGCTATGGTGAGCCCGTAGTGGACTTACCTGGCACAGGAGCAAGGCTGTAGCTGCTCCGAGTAGGGGGGCCCCCAAGAGGCAATTATATATAGGCTGGAGTAGGCCCATGAGGGTAGGCCTGTCCTTCACCCGACCAATGGCATGCCCCCCCCCCCTCCGACGGTCTCGCGTCATGCAGGTCTGCGTTAAATTCCTGACCGTCCAAGTGGTTGGGCACCATTCCTTCTCCCCGTCCCATCCCAAATCCTTATCCTGACCCATTCCAAGTGCTATATTGTCGTAATGACTTGGCGCTTTCCCCTTAATAGGTCCCTTCCCCCCCGACCATCTTCCCCGAGTATATTACTTGTGGTGTGAGGGGGAGGGGGGGGGGCGCGTCCCCTTGTCCCTTTCAATATTCATAAACGTAGACCATTAGCACTGGTGATTATATCCTGTCGAAGGAAACGAAATGTTTTTATTTTTTTCCGCCGCTGTACTTGGGCTTTTGACCATAATAATTACAGTTAATTTGCAGGTAGATCTGCCAGGGCGCGAGACGTATATGGAGAGCCAGTTATTAATGCTCGGGGGCCTCTGAGGGGCGCCAAGGGGGCTCCCTTTGGGGGTTCCCTGGGACACGTCCAGGCTCAAAAGAGCACCTTAGAGCTCTAAAGGGTATCTCTATCTTGAGGTTATCTTGAGATGATTTCGGGGCTTTTTGGTGTCCCCGCGGCCCGGTCCTTGACCAGACCTCCACCCCCAGGAAGCAGCCCGTGACAATATATATATATATATATATATATATATATATATATATATATATATATATATATATATAATATATATATATATATATATATATATATATATATATATATATATATATATATATATATATATATAATGTGTGGTTGAGGCTGAGTGGTAGATATGGGAAGACCAAACAGACCGCCGCCAGGAGAGGGAAGGCAATATAAGCTTTTCTCGTGGCCACGACTGCACCTGTGAGCAACAATAACTGTTCCAGCTTATATTCTCTGCAGCCTATAATCGCCTGAGCAGCGGTGGCAAGGAACGAGTCCTCAGCTGTAACGCTCCTCCCCGCCCCCCCCCCCCCCAACCCATCCCACAACAGTTAGTTAGATCCATTGTACGTATAGGTTAGCTTGTGTTACCTCATCCCTTTGTGTGTATTTATACCTCAATAAACTTATTTAAATTGTACGCACTCGTGAATTGGGTGGATATATACACACAGGACCCGCCTGGTGTGGACCAATAGTCCTTGTTTACTTCCGGTTCGTCCATTTGTTGCGTTTGCGTGTGTACATGTTCACACTTGTGCTGGACGCTCTTGTGCCAGGTAAGTCCACTACGGGCTCACCATAGCCCGTGCTACTTAAAACTTTTATTCCGAGTAGCTGAATCTTAAACAACTTGTGCTGGAATGACTTATATACGCACAATTTACTCCATTCGTACGCAAAATTGCGTATAGATGAAGTAAAGTAGTTGTCGGAGTACTCATCCCAAATTGTTATAGATGTACAGTGACGGTTATGAAAGGCGGGGTCCAAGAGCTAATAGCTCGATTCTGCAGTTACAAATTGTTAATACGCAATACACTCACGCACGCACGCTCACGCACGCACGCTCACTCAGTACGAGAACTTAACCTCACGTCGCTGGAAGAGAGAGGTTAGGAGAGACATGATTACATACAGGATTTTCAGAGGAATTGATAGGGTAGATAAAGACAATTTATTTAACACAGGGAGTCCACGCACCACGCACATGCGCTTATCGTATTTTTTCTGTTCACATCTTGTCCAAGTCCCGCTGGAGATATGTGGACCCAGGGAGTCGTATATGGCGTTTATTGGGCACAAAAACTCCAAACGGCTCCTTCGGGGCATCCAGTTTGGCCGCTTTTCATCGCGTGGGTTTGCATGCATTATCCACCACTTTGGGTCGTGTATTTTGTGTGTAGGTCACAGCTGGGCTCGGCCAGTCTTCCGGTATACTGCAGGGCGGTATACTGATTGCCGTGAGCGGCAGTGTGGTTCCTACTTTCAAGTTTGCTCTAAAGTTTTGGTATTTGGGCCTAGCAACCACGGGATGGCTGTCAAGTCTACCACATGAACTCACGAATCATCCACGAAGTATACTTCATTTCAGAAGAAGGCTTGGCTCATGTAAACTTTAGAAGCTGGGTATACATATCTTGGGGTATACACCCCCGAGCTGTTCCTTTTATCTGTGTGGTGGCGGAATGTTATCAATAGTTTGACCAGTGTTTGTCAACAACCGTTATAATGCCGTGGTAAACTCATTAACGACTTGATTACAACATTTGTTGTAATATATATTAGTCTGTAAATCTCAAACACGTCGTAGGTCTAATATATTGCAGTAATTAAATAAATTTATGTGTTACGTGTGTGCATAAGTTAATAACTAACATACATTCAATGCCAGATTATATCCACCTGAGGCGGCCCCACTATATATTTCACTAGTGTGTGTATATTGTTATTAATATGTCACGCCCATGAATCCATGGCAAAAACAAATAATGATAATTATAATTGTGTTCAGGTGCGCGTGGTGCTGCGGGTGTCGCCCAAAGTCAAGATGGGCGAGGGGGAGGCAGAGGTTGTGACAGTGGACAAGAGGCGCCGCCAGGTGACTCTGGTTGACCCCCAGACGCGCCAGGCACAGGAGGGCAGGGTGGGCGTGGCAGCACCCAAGATGTTCGCATTTGACCAAGTCTACACACAGGACGACCCTCAGGTATATTCAAGTTCAAGTATGACAATGTCAGACCACGGAGGAAAAATGAAGATGTATTTAATATACGAAAGTACTTAAGGAAATTTCCTGTTTCATTTTTCCTCCGTGGTCTGACATTGTCACATTCTTAATCACGTGTTTATTTTCGTGATATACACACAAGTTCAAGTATGTTTATTGAGCTAAGAAAGAAATACATCTCAAAGGGATAGAGTAGCTTAGACTATTTCTACCCCCCCCCCAAACGCAGGTATTTTACCTTCCGTTCATGATATGCAGCCCTATTGTGTGTTGTGGTTCCTGCCGCCTTGTGTATTTCCAAGATTCCTACCTTGTCCAAGTAGGCGTTTACAACTACAACATAAATCCTTTTAAGTCATTTTTTATTTTTTTCCAAAATATTGCCAAGTCTATTCTCTAGCACTTGCTCTATTTTGTGATCTATTCATTAAGTGATCCTCTACTGAACACGGAGCACACATGGTCAACCCATGGCTCTAACTAACAATTATCTACTGTTAAACTCAACTTTTACTTACAGGCCTAATTGACATCATGATCCTGACTGTATGACTCAATCATCGTAGAGTATTTCTCTTGACTCACTGTTAGTCCTCGCATAACATCTTTGACCTTATCTGCAATAGCACATGCTCCATACACTGTCATGTTTATTATTTCTACCTATTGTATTTACGCCACTTGCATCTCTTAAATCAGTCCTTTCAACTGCCTGAATTTGAATCAGTGTTCGTGTTTGACCTCTCAGAGATCAGAGTTAGAAGGAGTGTTTGAGAGGAGAGTCATGCAATCCTTCACAACCAGTATAACATGTCTTCCACAACCCTCCATATACGGCCTAGGCACCTAATATTTTCACTAGCAAAAATCTGTTTATTCTATGAGAAAACAGGATCCACCTCCTTTTATCATCTCTGATCTCTTGATCATTCTCACGTACTGCCTTCAATTTTCTTTCACCGGCAAAAAAAAGAAGTCAGTAAATGTTTTTTTTTTTAGACATTGTCCGGGTCTATAAATGCCATACACAACATTCCTTAGTTTCAGGGTCATGTAGTACAGTGGGCTACGTTTTTGACTCGATAGGGGATTGCGGGTTCGAGCCCGTATTAGCCTTGGAGTAAATAGGTACCAGGGAATTAGGCAACTGTTGTGGGGTTGCGCTTTCGGGAAGGTCAGTTTGTGGGTTTCAAAGCTTATTGTAAGCCATAAGCACATAAGTAAGCCTTTGTAAGCCATAAGCAGAGTCCTTTTGATAATCCGCCCCTGCTTAGGCCTACTAGCCTTCCCCCCCTTGTTTAGAATAATCATTTGCAGTTTTTATCCAGGCATGTGGGATATGTCCAGTTTATAAAGCACTTTGCTGTTATTCCTTCCTCTCTACCTCCATGTTTTAACATTTACCACTTTTTGTTAAATTTTCTGCAGTTTAGCTTTGTGTTCTTTAATCTCTTAAATTGTCACTTTATCCCCTCTGCTACTTTCACTCTCTTTATTTCCTTCCAATAAAACATTTTTATTAGTAATAAATTTCCTATTTATTAACATTGCAAATTTCCCATTCATTAACAGAATGACCATGATGATTCGGTTACGTATTTATTCAGTCCCCCGAGACTGCATTTGACATGGTCATAACAATGTCACAAGTGGGTTTAGTCAGGTCATTCCCCCCAACAGAGTGAGGTGGTGTCCGGGGCTGTCGTGGACGTGCTTCACGCTGTGCTCGCTGGGAATGACGGCTGCATCTTGTGCTTCGGAGGCGCAGTCCTCGGCAAGACCTACACCATGCTGGGATCACACACCGGTCCGGGGGAGCTGGGGGTTGTGCCCTCCGCTGTGGCCTGGTTGTACAGAGCCATCGTCGAGCTGAAGGCGAAGAGTGGGGCGAGGTTCAGCGTGAGGGTGTCCGCTGTGGCGGTGGACGGGGCGGGAGCCA